CGATATCTATTGATAAATAAAAATAGCTGATATTTGGTACTAGGTAGATATAATACTATACAATACCTTTATCCTATACCTAGTATTGCAATTGTAATTAGTAAACATTCAGTGTAGACATTATTTAAAATATAAGTACATATATACAAGGGAAGAGAATCCCTAAAATCACGATTTATATTTTCATTAACTTGAATGTATGCGGTATACCTAAGTACCCAACCAATATTATCAATCATATATATAAATATATTAGAACCTAGAAATCCTAGTTGAATATACATATTCTATGACTAATTTTAATTTTAGCGATATCTATTAATTTATAATTTAATTAATAAAATAATAATATGTTTAAATAATTATGCCGTACGAACATCGTCTGTCGCCTGATGGTCATTACATCGACCATTTATTAATTATCACTGAAACATGCTACAGTATAAATCAATATAATGTTTATTTAACCTTGATAGTGATAAAAAAAAATGTGTATTAATAAGAGGTTGTAGAATTTAATTTAGTCGTTAAATTTAGATGTATAATTAACAATTACACATCGGACTGCAAACTGAAAGTTCAACGTTTGAAAAATACATAATATACCTAACTGTTAAGTTAACGAGACAAGAATAAACTATGTATCAAAATTAATATGGCATAACAATAAAATCATAATATTTTCAATCACTCAAATACTCATGTTTTCCAAACAAAGTCAAAGCTTTCATTTTGGAGACAAATAGTGGCGTGCCTAGAAATTATCAATGGGGATATTACTCGTATAAGTAGTAATACATTTTACAATAATTTTTTGCTAATAATTAATACAAGTATTAAGTAACGACTCTTAAACAGCTCTTAACTAACAAGTTGTTTTCTGTAGGTCAGCAAAAAAAGACGATGTGGGGATTAACTCCTAACCTCCTCCTCTCGAACACGTCACTGAAGACAAACTTAGTTAATGTTAAATATCGAATTTGATTGAAACATCGAATCAATAGTACATCGAAAACTAATTTGCGTGTCCTACATATGTATATATTCAACATGAAAATATATAAATATATCATTATATTTAGGTAACTATATTTTGTACAATAACGGATTTATAGTGTTTTCGGATACAACGACTATTGAATATTGATAATAAAATCATTCTACCCTCAAATATTCTGAGATTCTGACTTTAATTGCGT